GGATTCATGGGAGGGTGGCTTGGAGAGGTTGTGGGGGGCAGGTAGGGGGAGAGGGGGCGGGGCTGGGAAGGCTCCAGGCCGGCACCCCTCAGCTCTGGTGGGCAGCGGAATCTCCTGGGGCTCGTTGGAGCACCGGTCTGGCCAGGCCCACAGGTGTGCGTGGGCCGAGAATTTGCAAATATTTCTAACAGTCTCCCTCCCAGGTGGCGCCACTGCTGGTCAGGGGCCATGCTCAGCACCAGGCCCTGGACCGGAGGCCCACGTGGCAGGGTGATTCCTAGACGCTGAGCTGAGGAATTGGAGGCGCCGGGGGGTGTGGGAGTCGTGAGCAGGAAGGCACGTGGCTGCGGTGAAAGCTGGGCCGCCTGGGCCCGCGGGACTGCGAGCTGCCGCCGCGGCCCTAAGCTCTCCCGTCCGATTTCCCCTCCAGGTGACGCGTCCCTGAGCTTCCTGGTTTTGGTGACGGGCTGCACGTCTGTGGGCAGAATTCCGGAGGCTGAAATCTACAAGATCACCGCCACCGACTTTTACCCTCTGCAGGAAGAGGCCCGGGAGGAGGAGCGGCTCACGGCCCTCAGGAAGATCCTCAGCTCCGGCGTCTTCTACTTCTCGTGGCCCAGCGACGGGTCGCGCTTCGACCTCACCGTCCGGGCGCAGAAGCAGGGTGATGACAGCGACGAGTGGGGGAACTCCTTCTTTTGGTGAGGCCCGGGCCCCAATCTCCTGCCCAGGTCACAGGGCGGCGGGCCCTGGTGGGCACCTACCTCCCAGGGTCCGGGGTGACCTCTGAGAGTGGAATCCGTGCCCACTCAGAGGGGCCCGAGCCTGCATTTCTAGAAGGTGGTGATGGTGGCACCGGTGCTGCTGGTTCGGGGACCAGCTCTGAGTAATAGGTCCGGGGGGGGGAGGTGGGGTGTCTCTGTGACTCATGGGGCCACTTTGCAGGGACCAGCTGGTGCGTGTGGCCCTGAGGCGTCTGAGCTTACGGACCGAGGGTCTTTGTGCCAAGGCCGCGGAGCCATTTCAACCCGGGGCTGCCGGGGGAGCAGAGGCGAGAAGTCTCTGAGGCTGTGACCTCCCTTGGGAACATTGTAGGGCCAGAGGGTGTCAGGGGACTCTGGATGCCCCCCCTCCCTGACCCCCCCCCCCAATAGCTTCCCTCCTCAGGCTCCTCCTGCCCGCGCTGTGGCCGGAGGTTCGAGCACACAAACAGGAAGACACAGCAGAGAGTCGCCACGCGGAGGCTCAGTGGGGCTTGGGAGGGGAGACCCCCATGGACACCAGACTTTATCTTGAGTTGAGAGGAGGCGGCGACTGGGGAGGGTGCCAGGCTGCTGGGCCGGACACCAGGGTGTGGTGTTTGGGCTCAGGGTGCACCCATGGGACTGACCACAACCGAGTCGGCTCTGGCTGAGTGGTCACGGGCTTGATGTCCTCACCCGCCGTTTGGGGTGCCGGGTCTGGCCATGTCTGGAGTCAGACGGGGTCAGTGCTGAACGCGGCTGGTGAGTAGGGAGAGTGTGCGGTGAGGTGAAGTCCTTTTCCGGGCTGGTTACCGGCCCCGCCCAGAATGGCTTCCCGGTACAAGCCAGGCCCGGGAGGAAACAGAGCTCTTTTCCTTTCTCGCGCCTTCTCCAGGGGTGTGAGGGCTCCTCCCACAGCATCAGGGAGTGGCTACAGGCCGGCTTTGTTCAGGGCTGTCCATTGGCAAGTCTTCTTCTCCTGACCCCTGGGGCTCACGGTGGCCACAGCTTGAGGCTTTGCCTTGATGCCCTGTGTGGATTGCATGCACTGGTTCCTCAGGCTGGTTTACTGTCTGAACTTTAGGGAGGGGTGCAGGGGAGGGAGACGGGTGTTTGTAAAGCAGACGGGCACTGTGGTTCTGAGAGCTCGGGATGGGGGTGGGGGTGTCCCACGTGGTCGCTCTCTGGGGGGGGGGTGCTCCCGGCGCCCAGATGGAAGTGGCCGTGTCACGGGCAGGAAGGCTGGCCTCAGTGGGGGCGCTGCTGCCTGGAGCAGCCACCTGAGACGCCAGGGCTCCCAGCACGCTTCTCCAGGAGTGAGAGAAAGCTGCCGTCTTTGAGGAAGGCCAAGGGCAGGGCTAGTGCTGCCTTTTTTGAACAAGTAGAGCACTGTGATCTAGATTCGCTTAATTACCCGGCGAGAGAGAGGACAGGAGGATGTGGTGCGCACAGGAAAGGTAGGGCCTTCGTCAGCGGAGGCCAGGGCTGGCTGCCTGGGAGAATTACACCAGCTCCCAGCTCCACGCTGCCGCTTCCTGGCCCCGTGACCTTGGGCAAGTGGGCGCTTCTCTCCGCTGTGCCTCAGTTTATTTATCTGTGAAATGGGGTGAGTCATTCCGAGGATGCAGTGAGTGAATCCATGCCAAGCACTTAATGTGCTCAGTGCGCTTGACGCGCGTTGGCTGTTGTCCCATCGTTACGCCAGGGCTCTCCAGAAGCCAGAACGGCCCACCAGGTACGGAAGCGCTGGGACTTCCCTAAGTTTTATTTCCATCTCATCCTCTTTTACTTATTTGCGATTGCTTTGTAATTCACCTCATGGGATATGGATATGATTTAAATAAGCATGCATGCGTTTAGTAGGGTTATTATCTAATCACAAAACACGTGATTGCGTTTTTACTGACGGGATTGCCCGTTAAAACGTGGAGGCCACAGGTGTAAGGAGGCTCCTCTGACATCCGCTGAAAGGCGCGTGATGGCTCCCAAGCCAGGCTTGGCTCCCCTGGCCGTGGCCACCGGCAGTGGCTTTGGGAAAGGACTCCTTGCCCTCCTGCCTCGCATGTGTCCCTCGGCAGCCCCAGACGCCCTGGGCCGGGTGCTCAGCGCTCACGGGGGGGCGGGGGGGAGGAATGGGGGGCGCCAGCCGCTGGGCCCGCCCTGCTTGCTTTGGGGCCGTTTCCCCCGGAGGCGAGGTGACCTGAGTGGCTGTGGCTCCGTCTGCAGGAACCAGCTGCTGCACCTGCCCCTGCGGCAGCACCAGGTGAGCTGCCGCGACTGGCTGCTGAAGGTCATCTGCGGGGTGGTGGCCATCCGCACGGTGTACGCCTCGCACAAGCAGGCCAAGGCCTGCCTCATCTCCCGCATCAGCTGCGAGCGAGCCGGCGCCCGCTTCCTCACCCGCGGCGTGAACGACGACGGCCACGTGTCCAACTTCGTGGAGACGGAGCAGGTCAGTGCCCAGGCCGCCCGCCTGCGCTCGGAGGGATGGGGCTCAGGCACAGGTGTCTCCGTGAGGGGGTATTCGAGGCGGTGTCTTACTCTAACGCAGCGGTTCTCAACCTGTGGGTCGCGACCCCTTTGGGGGGCGAACGACCCTTTCACAGGGGTCACCTAAGACCATCGGAAAACACATATATAACTACATATTGTGTTTGTGATGAATCACTATGCTTTAATTATGTTCAATTTGTAACAATGAAAATACATCCTGCATATCAGATATTTACATGACGATTCATAACAGTAGCAACATTACAGTTATGAAGTAGCAACGAAAATAATTTTATGATTGGGGGTCACCACGACATGAGGAACTGTATTAAAGGGTCGAGGCATTAGGAAGGTTGAGAACCACTGCTCTAAGGGGAAGGGAGCTGGTTATGGGCTCTGATTCACGTCTCATGCTGGGAAAACGCTGCGTACCTGGGTCCTTTCAGCTAGAGCAAGCACGCCAGATAACGAGGCATGCGGCCCTGGCCGCGAGTTTGACACGCCTGAGCAGGAGGAAGCAGGGTTTCCCCAGGATGGTGGAGGGCGGCAGCTAAACAGAGAGCAGCTGACGACCGATGAACCAGTGGAAGTTAGAAATCTTAAGGCCAAAGTCAGTACATCGATCGTGGAAGGGTGAGGGAGGAAACGACCCTGTGGCCCTGTTTCACTCTGAATCAACCGAAGCTTCGCCCTAGAAGCCGTCTCAGCACCGGGGGAGGGGGGCAGGATATGGGGGTGGAATCTGCATGTTCGGCAGCCGTGGCTCTCGGCGCCCGCGGGCTAGAGCCTTCTGCTGAATTTCTCATTGATCAGTTTCCGAAATTCGTCCTCCTTCCCGGGATGCTGCCTCCCAGCGGTTGTTCCTCTCTGACGTGCCATGCGGAGGCCCTGCCACGTGTAGGCCAGCAGGTGGAATAGCTTATAGGAATCAGAAGGCACAGGTGCAGGATGCGTGGGTGTCAAGCTGCAAAACCTGTGCGTACTTAGTGGCGGCGGCTTTGCCGACGGCAGCTGAGAGGGGTTTCCCGGGGGACTGCAGCCCGTGTAATTCCGCCCAGATCGGAGCGCCTGGCCGTGTGTGCAGGCGGCCGCCTGCCCGGCTTCCAGACGCACAGAGGAGAGGACATCCGCTTGTGTTAGACGCTGAGTGGGAGGACCCCCAACAGGAGCCTTAAGATGAGCAGCAGGGCCAGCTTCTTGCCTGTGACTCCTGCTTGCGATATCTTTGCTCCTGGAGGTAGACACGGCAGGTAAAGAAATACCTGGTTGAAAGTGATGGAGAGAAAACGGTGCCCCCAATGGAGGCCGCTGGCTTTTTCTCTCACTCATGTCTTCAAGATGAACTTGACTTCCTTTTGTTCTCGTGCCTCTCCGTCATCACCACTCTCCACCCGTGTCATTAGCCTTGGACTCATCCAATCCATTCAACACATTTTTATTATTGATCACCTGCCGTGGGCCGGGTGCTGCGGTGGGAAGTGGAGGCCAGAAGCGCAGAGGCTGACCGTGCAAACCAAGTCCCGGGGGCCTGGTGACAGAACCAGATTCCAGAGGCTTCCTCTGCGGCCCTGGAGCCAGGCCCACGCCAGCCGCTGCCTCAGTCTCCATCCAGCCCTTGGGCTGAGGCCCCTCACTGGCTCCTCTTGCGTGGTGTGCCCTGGATTTTTGGATTTCAACCAGTTTTTAAACACTGGGGTCTCGTCTACTGACAGATGAAGTAAGTCATTGGGAAATCAACTGCCCCCCATGTCACTGATTTCCTAAAAGAGGCCGTTTCGACTGAAAATGGAGGAGGACGAGCGTGGCTCCCCAGTGCGGCTTAAACAACTGGAAATTATTCAGAGGCCGCCTCCCCCTGCGGCCCCAGAGAGGGTCCTCCCTGCCTCTTCCGGCTCCTGGTGGCCCGGCTGTGGCAGCGCCACTCCAGTCTCTGCCCGCGGCTCCGCGTAGTGCCCTCTGCCCTCGAGCCTCCCCTTTTTGTAAAGACACCGATCAGATTGGAAGGAGGCCCCTCCCCACTCCAGTGTGGCCCCACCTTCACTAATCCCATCTGCAATGACTGTTTCCAAACAAGGGCACACTGAGGTGCTGGGGGTGAAGACTGCAGCACGTCTTTTGGGGGGACAGAATTCGCCCTTTAGCAGGGACGCATCCGATGTTAGCGGACTCTGCCTTCGATGCAGCACATGCGGCTTCAGGGAATCTCTCCACTGTCTCTGCGTTTCACATTTGCCTGCAGACCAGGGGTGCGGCCTCTGCTCTGGTCAGCTCCCCCGCAGGTGCCTGGGGACTTGGGTTTGTCTCCCGGAGGCCCAGGTCCCTCGCTCCGGCTGGTTCCCCACAGGGGCCCACTCCAGGGGAGCGGGGTCTGCCGTGGGCCGTGGCGCTGTGAGCATGTGTCCACGAATGTGAAGGGTATTGCTCCGTAGCCTGGATCGCATCCCGGGCTCTGTGAGCAGTGTCCTCATGGAGAAATGCCGGCCGAGCGGTTTCTTTCTCAGCAGCCCAGCCGAGCAGCTCCCACGGCTGCTCTGGTTTGCTCTCCCTCAGGGTGGCCAGCGCTGCCTGCAGTCGTTACACCACCTGCACCTTGACTCCTTTGTTGTCCGTAGAATAATGGTGGTCAGTGTCTGGACACAGACGGCAAGTCCTTAACCCAGTGCCTTTTCCCTTTGGAGATCAGGGGATAGAATGTCCGTCCCAGTGTGGCACCCTGGCTGGTGTGATTCCTGTAGTCCAGGGAGCCCGTGGGCCTGACGCTCAAGTCCTCCTGCAGAATGACTAATGCATGTTGATCTGAGCGAGATCTAGCCCATGGAAAGCTACCCGGTAAGGGAGCAGGCTGGTGAGAAGTGGAAAGGCCGGCGGCATCGCCCGGGCCGCCCTGCCAGGCCAGGGTAGAGTTACTCAGATAAAGGGCAGAGCATCTGAGAACCGCCACGGCCCCCCCTCCCCCCCCATGAGGCGTGGGCCTGTCCTTTCTGTCCTTTAAAACTTCCTCTCAGGCAGCCGGGGAGTTGGTTCGCGCTGGAGTAACTGGGGGGCAGGGGAGATGCCGTCTTGAACGAGTAAGTATCGGCTTCCGTGCAGGGGCCGTCCCCCCGGGAGCGTGTGGCAGCTGTGTTGTGTGTGATGACTTAGTGAGCGGCATGTTTAAGGACTCGGTGGCGTGGGGCCAGGGCTGACGACAAGTTCAAGTCTTGACCCGAATGGTCAAGTACAGGGCTGACGAGTGCCCTCAACGGCGCCTTTGGCTGCAGCTTGTTCGTTTCATTCATTCAGCCCTTTCCCAGTTGCCTTCTCTGCTTTGCTGATTGACGAAGTGAAAGTCGAGGGCTCTAAGGAGGGTGTCAGTTAAATCCCGAAAAGGGCGGGGGCATTGCTGGGATTTGCAGGGAGCTCCGGCAGCTGCACAGACCCGGGCGGCCCTGCCTGCTCCAGACTCCGGAGGCTGGTGGGCAGCCAGCATCCC